AACCCACACAACTGCTGTGGCAGATAAGTGCTACTCTTCATGAAAAAGGATGACTTTAGGATGGAGTCATGGGTCCAGAGGGCAGAGGCATGAGCCACTTGAGTTATTCCCAAGCTTTGAAACTTAATGGGGTTTCCCCAGGTGGACTTTAGAGGTGACTGGCTGGTGACTCCTTTTTGCCTTCATTTTCTCCCTTTTTAAATGGGAATGGCTGAAACGGTTATTCCTATACCTGCCCCACCACTGCATTTTTGGAGAACATAACTTGCTGTCTAGTTTCCCAGCTCCACAAATAGAGGATTTTTTCCACTGTGGGTTATACCCAGAACTGCACCCATACCTAATTTAGATATGAGATTTGAGACTTTTGAGCGGATGAGACACATTCTGAGATTGTGGACCTGAGTTAATGCTATAATGGGCTGAGACTTTTGGGGACCTTTGGATGAGTGAATGAATGCATTTATCGTGTGGGATAGATGGATATGAGTCTTTGAGAACCAGGGGGTAGACTATGATAGGCTGAACAATGGTCCCCCATCCCACTCCCAATATGCTGCCTTGCATAGTAAAGGGGATTTACAGAAGTGACATACTGACAGAAAGACCAAGGCCTCTAGGTCAGAGACACAATTTATTATGAATAGGAAAAAAACACAAACAAACAAACAAACAGCCAGATCAGCATTGTGTATCAATTCCCCATGCCCCAAGTCCCGCAGTATCATAGTATGGGACGGATGCTGCCTCTGCATGCAATAGGAGACTAGGGTTTTATGGAATTGCTGGTACATCTTCTCATCCTCTCCTACAGAGAAATCACTCATTACTCAAGCAAACATCTCTGGGGAGGGAGGAGAGGGCTCGATCTGTAATTCCCTGGAATGTCTCTAGGGAGAGATGCCTCTAGCTTCACTATCCTGAATGTCTCCTCATACAAACATTCTGAACTTAGATGAAAATATTTTCAGAGAACCCAGACTGTACAGAAATGTGAGCTACTTACGGAGAATTGTCTTCTGACACTTTATTTCAAGCACCAGTGGGGGTGGGTGGAATCTATTACTTTTAATAGAACAGAAAACATGAAAATTCAAATATTGTAATAATGCTAGGCTGATGGAAAGGACTTGCTGATCTATATGACTTTAGAGAAAGACCATGCCAAAAGAAACATCACCAGTAGGGTCAGGGAATAGGGAAAGAATGGCAGAAGGTGAAATTAGTTTGAGGAAAATATATTAAGCAATACAAGTTACTTAATTATCAGCAACAATGTAAGAAAGTAACATCAATCAATGCCATTTATAGATGCTTCCAGAGATTATCTGACAAATGAAATTTTTTATTTTAAATATATTTTTATTGATTTCAGAGAGGAAGGGAGAGGGATAAATAGAAACATCAATGATGGAGAGAATCATTGATTAGCTGCCTCTTGCATGCCCCCCACTGAGGATTGAGCTCACAACCCAGGCATGTGCCCTGACCAGGAATTGAACCGGGGACCTCCTGGTTCATAGGTGGATGCTCATCCACTGAGCCATGATGGCCGGGCCAAATGAGATTTTAACATGTAAAAAAGGCAAAGAAATTTGCCGGGGTCCAGCCCCAGTGGTCCAGGGGTTCCCAAAGGTGTGGACGGAGTCGGCGAAGAATGTTTTACACGGAGACAGCGTGCAGGACGTGGAGGGAAACACTCACGACAGAAATTTCCACATATTTAATGCTTATTTCTGGGAATATGACCTCAAGTTACAGATGTTAGATATCAATTCATTTGCTCCTCAAATGTATACTCAATACTCACTCTGCATCATACAAGATGGATAGGATCTCTTTTCATAAGGAGTATTCATTCCAGGGTGGCAGACTGACAGAACTAGTTAGTAATCAAGTAAGAAAAAATATCACAAATTATATACTACAAAGAAATAAAAGGGAGAATATGGACAATTTACCCAAACTAAGGTGGTTAGGAAAGCCCTCTTGAGGGAAGGAACATTTCATTCACTCTCAAAACAGCAGAGTGAGTCTTCTAAAACCTAATTCAGACCATGTCTCTCCTCTAGGTAATCCTTCAATTGCTCTCCATTCCACTTAAAAAAATCCCAGAGGCCCTATAATGGCAGAGCCCTTTGTGATTTGGTCCCCAAATAGTTTCCTGACCCCCTTTTCTTATTATTCTTCCCATAGCACTTGTATCTTCTAAATATTATAAAGCCCATTTATATCTATTGTCTCTCTCCTTGCCAGAACATTAGCTCTACTGTATCCCAAATGTCTCTAGAATAGTTCCTGGCCTCTAATAGAAGTTCATTAAATGTTTGTTCAATGAATATAAAATTACATTTTTATTAATATTTAAGCATAACAAAAATAGAAACATAACAAAGTTATCACATAAAATTATATTTTAACATTTAAACACAACATGGAAAAATACAAAATGGGAAACCCAAAACCCAAAACCATGTGAGATTATTTTAATGTGATGGGTGTGCTTGCTTGTTCATTCCAGTGTGGAACACAGGAGGACAATGCTACCTGCATATCTGCTGCACCATTCAATCCATTTCTTTTCTTCATTTTTTAACTGGGTTAAGACTGAAAACCCTAGTTCACATAAACTAGTTGTTGTGAATGGTAATAATAGTAGGGTACTCTTTCTACTGAGCAAAGGAAAGTCTTCCTTTATTTTAATCCAAAATACTGATAAACTTAACGTTTCATAATCATTCTTCAATGTATATGAGGAGCTGAGCTGCATTAATTCACTCTCTTCTTCAGGCAGTAAGTTTAACTCAACTATTGATCCTGGGTTTCGAAAAGCAAATGGATCTTTTACCCAAGAGTTTTCTCTTAATGTTTCAAGTTTCTCTTCTGAAAATGAATGATTAAAAGTTTGAGATAAAGAGGGGAGATGTAACAATATTTCTAATTTTATTTCTTTAAAGTTGGTTTCATTAATAATATTCTTTTCAATATGTTGCAAAAATCTTGGAAACATGTAGTAGCTGGGCCGGTTGCTTTTAAGCCTTGCTTGCCATATCAATAATGTCTTTTGGAATCCTTGGATACCTTCAACATGTTGGGATATATCACTGTTTTTCCCCTGTAGTTTTAAACTTATTCATTAAGAATGCCAAGAATATCAGTAAAAATTTGCCAATTTCGTTACCCAAATGGCATCTTCAAAAATACTTGCCAAATAAGATTTTTTTTTCAATGAGAAAAATGTGAATCTCATTCCTGAGTTCGTAAACCCTGCTTAGTATTTCCCCTTGAGACAACCGCCGAACTTTGGTGTGATACAGTAAGTGGGTATGATTAGTTCAATCACTGAACAAAATGTTTCAAGAAGTTGGCTGTTTAGTGAGCTTCCTTTAATGAAATTAACAACTTTCACTGCACTTTCAATACTTCCATGAGATTCTGTGGAATTTCTCTGGATGCCAAAGCTTCACGGTGTATAAAACAATGATTCCACACAGCACCATTATTAGTAACTTCTAGCAATTTTTTAATGACTCTGTTTTCCAGTTATGTTTGCTGTTCGTCACTTATAATTCCTCTGCAGTTTTTCCAGTTTAATTTATATTGACCAACAATGCACTTTTCTAACTCTTTAAAAATGTCTAATCCACTTAGGTCTGAGGTAAAATGTAAACAACACAAAAAATCCTCCATGAAATCACCTTGACACTCGTATCTGACATAAACTGAAAGTGTTATACAACTCCCAACGTCAGTGCTCTCAAGCTGGATTGCAAAATCTACACCAGACTGCAACCGAGACATAAGATTGTTTCTAAATGTTCTGCAATAGCACAAATTCGAAGAAATATTGTTATCACTAGGAATAGTTTTTAATTTATCAGCTGATTTATCATAAAAATTGTATGTACCATATCCAAACATGCTGGAAGGATAATCTTTTCAGCAGCTGTGTGAACCATTTTCTCATTTGCCACACGATATGCAACCAAATATGATGATAATAAGGCTTTCTCACTGACAGAAGTAGAACAACTGAGAAATTGTGTTGATACTTTACATCTTTTTTCTTTCTTTGAAAATATTCAAGAGGTTTATCAGTAAGTTCAGCATGCTGAGTTTCTAAGTGCCTTTTTAATTTGGAAGGTTTTAAGCTTTCATTTGCAAGAATATTGTTACAAATAACATTGAGGTCTGTCATTTTCAAAGGGTTTTTCACATTTGATAAAACCATATTTTAAATCATCTTCATTATATTGTCTTGCACTTACTTTTTTCTTTTTGAAATGTGGCTCAAATAAAGTTGAAGTTTTCAGATTAGAATAAATATTTTTCTCAATAGTATCGTTATTCACACTTCCAGATCCAACATTTGAACCTGAACATGCTTCTGCATATTTCACTTCATTATTCTCTTTCTTTTAAAAAAGAAATGATCCATTTTAAAAAGCAATTTTGATCAAAACATTGTAATTGTCACAAACTCAAAGATATATATGTATACATCTGTAGCCTAGATAACACCTTTAACAATGCAGTTTTCAACTGAATCTCAATGACTTCACATCTAGTTACAAGTCATGGTAATATAAAGCTAGACTGCACATCAACCTTATTATGAAAACCAAACAAGACACCAGTGGACAAATGACTGACAAAACCATTTTTTAGCCAATATACATTCTATTCATCATATCCCCTCCATCAAATATCTTTTCACATATTGAAACTGACCTTAGTATTTCTTGCAATGTGCACAATTCTCACAAAGGATTTATGGAAAATACTCTGATAATTTATAACTTTTTTGTCTTTAAAAAATATTCATCCTGACTCACAGAATGGATTTCATGACCTTCTAATCCAGTAGTTCTCAATCTTCTGGCCCTTTAAATACAGTTCCTCATGTTGTGACCCAACCAAAAAATTATTTTCGTTTCTACTTCATAACTGTAATTTTGCTACTGTTATGAATCGTAATGTAAATATCTGATATGCAGGATGGTCTTAGGCAACTCCTGTGAAAGGATTGTTCGACCCCCAAAGGGGTCGCGACCCACAGGTTGAGAACCACTGTGAATCTAATGGGTCACACACATAATGTGCAAAACATTCATATAGAGACATTTTCCACTGTTGTGTTGGTAGCTTGAGCATGTCTGCTTGATGACCAAAGAAACTAGCTGATCTGTTAGACTGCTGACTGGTACAGGAACTTTCTTGGTGTTAGATCTATATCTTAGATCAGGGGTCCTCAAACTACGGCCCACGGGCCACATGCAAATACAAATATTGTATTTGTTCCCGTTTTGTTTTTTTACTTCAAAATAAGATATGTGCAGTGTGCATAGGAATTTGTTCATAGTTTTTTTTTAACTATAGTCCGGCCCTCCAATGGTCTGAGGGACAGTGAACTGGCCCCCTGTTTAAAAAGTTTGAGGACCCCTGTCTTAGATTGTCAGTCCTGATACTTTTTGATGGGAGAGTTTTTAAGAGTGCCAGTTATGGTCTGATTTAGTGAGGCTCCAATGAAGTTTTCCATGGCTAGGTCAACTATCAGGTGGGAGCTGGTGATATATTTTTCAGTACTTTCTTGGAATGCATCCTTGACCTAGGAATAAGAACAGAGACATGACATTAGAGCGTTACAATACAGAGCAATATTATTGTCAGCTCTGGGAACCTTTACAAAATCCAAGCTCGTGGGTGCTGAAGCTCCTCATCACTCTGTTATATAGGCTTAAGCCTATTTCTGTAAGGCAAACCTCCTCAGCACAGATTAGTAAATAGAAAAATTATGTCAGCCTGGCTGGTGTGGCTCAGTGGTTGAGCATCGACCTATGAACCAGGAGGTCAAGGTTCAATTCCTGTTTGGGGCACATTCCTGGGTTGCAGGCTTGATCCCCAGCAGGGAGCGTGCAGGAGGCAGCTGATCAATGATTCTCTCTCATCATTGATGCTGCTATCTCTCTTTTCCTCTCCCTTCCTCTACCTGAAATCAATAAAAACAAATTTAAAAAGAAAAACTATGTCAGTAAAACCTGCAAGTTGGCATCAGGAATTGCAAGGTACGCTGATAAAGCTGAATACAGCAAGCCATGATGGAGTAGAACTCATTCACTACATAAAGTTGTCCTGCAGTATTCATGTGGGATTGGTTCTAGGCCCCCCCCCCACCACCAAAATCTATGGATGCTCAAGTCCCTTAAATAAAATGGCATAGTATTTGCATATAACCTACATTTGCATTATAGGCTACAGCAGGATGTGCCTATACATCACTTCATTCACATAAATTGAGTGTAATGCACTAATGCTTAAGATATGTGCATTGAGGTTGATTGTTGTGGATATATAACCATACTTCAGAGCTATGATTCTGTGCATCTAGCTTAGGCATCCTTTAGGAAATAACTCTAATTAAGGTGACCGAATGCCTGCAGTTGAAAATTTCTTATATATCAAGATGCACTAATACAGTCATGTGATATGGTTTCAGGCTAGTGATTTTCCACTAATGTATCTTTTTATCTACCTATAGTAGTGTTTATTATATGGTAGGTACTCAATAAATATATTTGAAAGAATGAGAGAATAAATTAACACCTGTACTAAGTCATACAATGTGCATTCTATTTTTAAAAAAATATATTTTATTGATTTTTTACAGAGAGGAAGGGAGAGGGATAGAGAATTAGAAACATTGATGAGAGAGAAACATCGAGCAGCTGCCTCCTGCACACCCCCTACTGGGGATGTGCCCACAACCAAGGTACATGCCCTTGACTGGAATCGAACCTGGGACCCTTCAGTCCGCAGGCCGACGCTCTATCCACTGAGACAAACCAGTTAGGGCTGTGCATTCTATTTTTATCAGTCAATGAAAATTATGTTACTGAACATACAATTTTGTAACATGTAATACAAAGGCTGATATAATATATTATTTAAAATAGGATCATCAAACATCTATTTCAAAATAAACTACTTATAATGTTACATAGTAGAAACAATGGTCTTATAAAATCATAAATATCAATTATATTTAGACTTAGCATATAAAGCTCAATACCTAATCTACCTGAAAATAAAAAACTCACATAAAAAAACTAACATCTCATTTATATTACTATAGGTATGGGTTCTTTACATTTTTTAGACAAAATAATTGTCTTCTAATCATTCTGTTCTTTTATATTTTACTGTTCCCATTTCAATCCAGTCATGTGAGTTTATAATTGGCTATGCTTCAGAATGTAGTATTAAAAAGTATTCTCAAAGGGCTTTCTCTCCTCATACAACTTACTTACAGTAATAGCACAGGTACTGTATTAGGGTATAGACTTTGTAGATGTGAGGATGAAACCATGGGGAAGTCCTTTTCTGGAATAGGATGTAAGGAATCAGCTAAATGGGAGGCAGGAGAAAATGTTGCAAGTTTGATAGAAGGTATGAAATAGTTGTCTAGGGAAGGGATACCATGAACTAGGAAATTGTTTCAGAATTTTAAGTGAGTCTGCATGATTGACTTACATGTTTAATGCAATGATCATTATTGTTATGAGGTCTTTAATTACCTGCCACTAATTTTTACCTCTTAGACATATCTTCATGGTGCTATGAATATTATCCTCTAAAAATACAGCTCTGATCAGTTTCCTCATAATTCAAAAATGGCTCTGAGCTAGTGTAATCTCCTCAGATAATATTCTTTAAATCTAAGCCCCATTCTGTCTTTCTAAGTTTCTCTTTCACCACATATCTCCATAAAATTCTACATTTTAAGTTCTAAGACTATGGAAGTTCATGAAATACCTTATGCACTTTGACATTTTTGCTTTTGTTCAGATTAATGTTCCCTTTGCCTGGAATGCTTTTCTTGCCTTAAGTCATTTGGAATCCTATTAATTATTTAGGTTTTAGCTCAAATACTATAGCATTCATCTATTCAACCAACAGTGAAGCACTTACAATGTGTCAGGTACTGGGGATACAAAGCAAGAAAACAAATACTGATTTATTCATGTAAGGGAATACCTGTGTCCAGCTGTTGCAATGAATGAAGGAAAGTTACATAACACTGACAAATCTTAAAAAGCATTAAGTAGTCCTGGCCTGTGTCGCTCAGTGGATAGAGCATCGGCCTGCGGACTCAAGGGTCCCAGGTTCGATTCTGGTCAAGGGCATGTACCTTGGTTGCTGGCACATCCCCAGTAGGGGGTGTGCAGGGGGCAACTGATCAATGTTTCTCTCTCATTGATGATTCTAACTCTCTATCCCTCTCCCTTCCTCTCTGTAAAAAATCAATAAAAAATATATATATATTTTTTAAAAAGCATTAAGTAAAAGAAAGCTGTGAAAGAATATATACATTACTGACTGCTAAAAATATGCAAAACAACACTGCATGTGTAATTAAAAATTAAAATGTAAAGTTGCTTGGGAAAGTGGTCGTCTTGGGCAAGAGGGAATAGAATGTGATTTGTGGAGCAGACAAAGGACCTCAATTACTTATATCTTAATTGATTTCTCCAGTTGAGTGGCAAGTACACATGTAGTATAGTTTTATTTCTACCTGTGTCAATCTAAAATATTCTATTTTTTTTTCAAAGTATGTATAAGGCTTGATTCCCTCTGGAAGGCACTGCAAGCCTTTCTCATAACCAATCACTGAAAATTATTTCCATCCTTGTTCTCCCCTTTATTTCCCACCTTGTCATCGCGCACACATCAGTACACAGGCCTGCTGAGTGGGAGCTCCCAGGTATGAGCTTTAATAGATGAGAATGCAGCCCTCTCCCTGGGAGATCCCCGACTGTTCCCTCCAACCCTCTGGGGCCACAATGCCTTTTAAGACCTTTGGCCTGACCCTGCCGGCTGGCCGACCCTAGAATGTCTCCCTTCAGATCCTGTATTGCTGCCCTCCCCCCGACAGATGTCAATTCATCCTTTGAGCAAAACCTAGAAGATGTGTCTCCTCCCAACGAACCCCGGAATGTGTCCCATTGGCGGACTGCGGTCCATGCCCACCAGAGGTTGCCTTTCTTCCTCCTCACCTCCAGCCCAGCTCCACGGACCTGGCGTCCAGCCCTTGGATCCGCGATTCTGCTCCCCCCACATGCCCTAGGGGCAACTCCACTTCCGGCCTCACCTCCGCATCCGCAGATATCCCACTTGGAGCCGGAAGAGGGCTGTCTCGGTTTCTGCGCAGCGCGGAACCTGGGGCCGGCTCCGCTTTCTCGCCTTCCCGACACTCTCCTTCCCCAGCTACATTTCCTAGTCTCGCGTGAGGTCTTTGAACGCTCTGGCGGGAACCACAGCTGGCCGCCCCGAGTCGGAGAGTTGGGGACTCATTGTGTGGTCAGTGGGTCCTGCTGCAGCCGCGCGCAGACGGGCCTCGTCCCCGCGGGTCGCGCCACCCCGGGGACGGAGAAGAGGCTGCGGCCC